CGTCCTCAGTCCCAACATTTTATGCATGATAACAAGTTGGTCGAGAAAGACTGTTTTTTAGTTCAGCACCTTAAGTGAAATACTAATCATTTATTTCGAGCCACAAAGGTACATAATCTTCCGATGTTATACGAGAGGTGAATCTGCTGTTCTTCAAATTTCAGTCATTTCGCACAATTCATTCACACTAGATTTATGTTCATTATTTAACATCCCGGTGAAAAGTGTAGAAAATGTCGCTGATATGCCGAACTGTATAGTTCCATTGTACTCACTTAACTGGTTGAAGAAAATTTTTTAGGTGCAGTCGTGGTTCGTGAATAATTGGAGAGGGTGATGATAAGGCTCTTAAAATTAGTTGAACTGCATGTACTAATAAGTTGAAAATAAGGGCTACTGAATAGCTTTTCTGTCTCTTCGTCTCAATAGCTCAAAAACAAAGTTCCGTACATCGCCAAAGGCACAAGTCTTCTCAAATTTGCAGATACGAATATCTGATCAGCCAAACGTATGTTGATAACTTCTTGGCAGTTTTCTCTATCTACTCTACAACCATTATACTGAGAAGCTTTTGAAATTTATAAGTACATTGTCGTTAACATTCACAAATATACAATATGGTCCTGATTACTGTAGTATATATTCTATTCCATTTCTAATTAACCAGGGTCACGAGACAGGATTACTTATCAAATCAGTTACACCAAATGGAATGACTCATAAATTAGGAAAACTAATAATCGGTGATTGGTTGGTTGCTGTAAACTCTATGAGTCTGATTATCACATATTCAAAAGATGAGTTTGCAACTGTTTACAAAAACCTCAACACACAGATGTTCAGTAGTAGTTTGAAGAAGTCAACAGATTATAAACAGAAGGGAAGCTACAACGAAGACTAACACCTGGTGTAATCACTAACAAAAAACGGAAATAACTGTTCAACACATCCTGATGATACCTGGGCAAATGTTCATTCTCTAAATCCAGGGTTGAAATTATTTAACACAAATCCTTCAAGATGCAGTCAGTGTATCTGTTTGCAGCTGGGCTACTTAAAAAAGCTTATAGACCAGTCAAACTAGGCTTAATTCGTTATAGTATGAAACATCTAACCAACTGGGAAACTCATGAACATTACTACCGCTTAAAAGAACATTTTCAGCAACAGTCTACATTTACCCTTGAGGAAGATGGACAAAATAGGTCACAAAGGAATTTGATACTATTGTCATTCTATTTTTGTTTAGAAATGCTGATTCACAGAGTTAACTGTCTTTCATTTCGTAAATTTTAAAACCAAAAAGCTGAAATATCAGTACCAGCTCACATTTGAAGATTGTGTCTGAGGTTCAGAGCATCAAACTGATATAGTCATATAGGGGAGTGGTACTGTTGAATTCTGAAAATTCCTTGTACTCTGGGTAAAAGATTACTTGTCGACATTCTACTGAACATGCGTTAGTATAAACTCATCTTCATTCATCCTTCATTGGACTACAAGGAAAGAGCTATATGGCTGTTCAACACCTCAAGTGACTTATGATTGCCTCAGTTATGCTCACCTACGAACAGAACGCGTAATAATGGCAAACTCTGATTGGCCATTGTGGAGCAACCGGTTTCATTTTGTCGAGCCCTTATTGTTGGCCGAATTTTATCGATCATTATTTTATGATGTAGTCACCAAGGTAGAAGACTGACCATCATGGTGCACTTTGATAGATGTCAGTGAGATGGAGGAAGTAGGCAGAAAGCTTTGAACTTAAGTTTCTTGGTTGTAGGTAGTTGTCAACAAGGTGCACCTGCAACTGACGGAATTGATGTCCCCTGAGAAATTCGAACCCACGTCAACCAGTCCTGCAGTAACAGATGTTACCACTGGTAGAAACATTTGTTGATCCTTGTCGCGGAATACCTTATAACTCTGATATGGTAACCTTCAAAGTTATTCGTTCAGTCGACCTCTGTGACAGCTGCTTACCTAATGTTGACTTTTCAGCTCCTCCGTGTTTCCTCCAACTATAAGGGGCAAATCGTTAACACATAGAATCACGACAGAATAACTCAATTAAGCAACTGACACTTCAAACTTTCCCTTTAATGGGATAAAAGAATATACCTAACAGTATCGAGTAACTGCCTGATTGAATACACAATATTATCCACAATGAAAATAGTTGTAAAGATTTTTACTGCAAACAGTAGAAACACCAGTGTGAGATTCTGAAGTCATTTAAATGATCACGTGAATAATTTGTATTGTAGGCTGTTTGGCTAGATTTTATGAGCAAGCAGTTGAAGTTGTAGAACCTTGCCTAGCAGATCAAACTATATCGCTTTGTTCGACTACCGTGTTCTTCAAACAAATTTCGATATTTTTGTATATCCTACTCCAAATAATGGATTTAACTTAGGTTTTTCTGTTGTGTGAAACACGAAGCCATCGTATAATTGCCTAAGGGATCTATTTCTCGACGTATTTGATTAGAACAACAAACTTATAAGCAAATTAATTTATTGTATTCCAGATGGCATTCAGTCGTATATATACATCATGATCTTGTGATCTACAAATAGAGATGCACTATTCATTTTTCAAAGCTGACGTTTGTCGTTCCTCAGAAAATTACGTTTGGATATATCGTTCACTACCTTCAGAAATTCATTTAGTTATTCGACTGTTGATAAAATAGCAGCGATTAGGGAATTCTAAGGACAGAAACATAAATCTATTTCCACGTCTCTCTCTGTTTGTATGTCACAATGTATGTGGTGAGTCTTTGGGTACAGCTTATGCACTAAATCGTCTTCCTAACTGGCCGTATTTTATTTTTTCTCCTTCTTGTGATATGCTGCTTCCACATCTTAACCCATACTAATTCTCTCCACTTCCTCTTCATGTTTAAAATGTGCACAAATCCAGTAGTGCATTTCTATGCCCCAGTTAGTCTATTTAGCTTAATTTTAAAGTAGATAGAATTTTAGATCATCATCTTATTTCGGACTCGTCAGCTGAATGCACCTGCATCCCAGTGAGGATGTTGTTCCTTTTGAGATTCAAGCACCATGCTCACCGTTTCAAATGCCAAAGCCTTATCCTGTATGACACTGAGGAATGAGAATTACCTCTTGCTCAGTTGGTATAAGTTATTATCATTTATTGATAATTTTAATTCTTTGTTGTTATTCTGGATGGAATTGGTCGATATCTCTTGGCATATGAGCTTCTATTCGGAAGGTCCAATATTGCCTTGTTATTCACTATGTGGCTAGCAATGGAATCCAAAATACTGAATAATCAGAAAAAATCGAGGATTTTGAATAGAAGCCTGCATGTCAACAGAATGTGATCAATTCGACCCAGTATAACAACGAAAACCTACAATTATTAACAAATAATAACCAATTGATTGGCGTAAAGTAGAAATTCATTACTGAAATGAACATGAGTGTTAGCTTTCCGTCAGTAACCCTGCCAAAATCATATTTATTTGAGGGAAGAATAGTCTGACATTAGAAATTCAACATATTAGCTGTTTTATTTGACAACTGTTTAGGAATTTCTCGATCATAAAATCTCATGTATGAATGTTAGCTGGCACGACTGATTCACATGGATAAACGACTACACATCACTATGATTCATCTGTAAGTGTAATCTGAAATTCCACAATAACTGTGCTAAATGCTTTATTCACTAAACCTCATGTATACACATAAGCACATTTAAAAAAAGTTTCTGTAAGGCGCATTATTGATCACCCTATGTACTTTATCTGTTATACTTTCAAGTGAGAGGATTGAAAGTGTCGTCTAACTACTACAGTAGTTTACGTTCACGTCCACCTAAAAGCACTTAAACAAATATGTCTTAATGGCGTAGAAAAAGCTGGTTTAAATAAGACTTTATTATCTTATGTTTATTATGAATATAATCGTTTAGCTTGATAACAAGTGGATTATTTAAAAAGAATAAGGTTTGAAAGAAAATAAAATATACAGAATGACAAGAATGGAAAGGTTCATAGGAAGTCAAAGCATGGATAAATGTACTTTAATATGGTTGATTTTAAGAGGCATTGTCGATGTTCCTAGCCATAAGTATTTGACAGCCAATAAATTTATAATTCATCAAATAGTATGACAAAATAGCCAGAAAATTCTTAAATTTATTTTATATCTGGTTGGATCGCTTTCAGTCTTCTATCCTACTGTTATACAATGTCATGGTTTGGTAATGACTAAGCATGCATGAAACATGTTCCAAACATCTCGCTTGATGAAGCTTTACAACTTGACCAACCGGTTATTCTGTTTTAAAAAGTACTATACGCCTGTCCCTCACATCACTCATATATAGTGATTCTATGAAATTATCTTCTGTGGTCATATATGAAGTACGTGGAGTAAATTAAAAAAAACTATCAATATCTTAAATGTAATCGATATTCTGGTATCCCATATGTGTTATGTCCCTCTAGTTAACAGATGCTAGTCCAGTCTTTTGAATCACTATCTGGATTATCTTAACCCCCAGTATATGATATGGCCTAAGCATCAGCCAAGCTAACTAAAGTAGTAAGAGCTTTAAGCCAATCGACACTCCTTTTCGATAAATGACATCAGTGTAAACTATTTCTAAGGAAATATATTTCTTTTGAGATGTCAGTAAATCATCCCGAATAATCCCGCAATATCACCCCAATGTCCTTAAAATCTAAGTCTATTAACAAGCGAAGTTAATTGCTAGAACCTTATAAAAACAGCTGTATGACCTAAAAAAAGAGATATTCCTTCAAGATGAATAAAAATGAAGTGTAGATCTGAAAATAGTCAGTCACTGCAGTTATATCGAAAGCATCCTATAAGAGTGAGTTTCTGGGATCATACTTCTATCCACTGAAAGTGCATTAGGTAGCATGATGTTTTTGGGAGGTTTCAGTAACGTAAGGTGGCGTCCTGTGGTTCATAACCATATAGTGTCTGCTTTACGATCTTATGGTGCGCAATGATCAACGCAGTCTATCACCTACCTGTGACTTGACTGCTTTTGAAATGGAAATAATGAGTCATAAAAGTAATCAAAGCATTTATCACCGTATGCAGATATCTCGGCCTAAAGAATTACTCAATACCATTTCAGTTTCTGAAAATGTTGTAACTCTCAGTTATAATGGGGCTTTAACGTGTACTGAAAGGTATTTTCATCCCTATGAAAAGTTTGAGACAGAGTTGAATGCACGTCATTTTACATCTTAAGTGTAACCAAAAACCTTTTTTCTAATTAAATACTAAAAATTGTTTTGTAATAGTAAGATTAGTAACTATTGTCAAAAATGAAATGTCTTCAATGTTCTTTATTATTTAAATGATGACTGACGTGATATTAAATTATAATAGAAGCCAGTCAAACGTGTCAAATGGATGGAAGTGATGTATTTCAAGTCGTTACTACTTAAAAATCAATTCATATAAGCAGTGAGTCACTAATTTACTTACCATATAAATATTCTGAGGCATTGGTATAAGGTTCTAGAAAATGTATTTTCATAGGATACCAAAAGAGCAAACACAGCGATACGGTTAAAAAATCAAGATTCCGCACAAGAAAGGTTTTTAAATGATTAAAAAGTAAAAATAAAATCGTTTATCTGTCTAATATTTCACCACTTATTTGTGCAATAAGCAAACGTTAAAATAACTTCTTAGAATATACTAGTTTGAAATTTTGCATGACATACATATTGGACTAATGAAATTTGGATGAATTGAAATCATTTCAATCATCTGACAGAATCCCGAAAAGACAGTTGGATCATCATAATCATAAGTGATGAGGAGCAGAAAAGACTGGAAAATTGATTTTCTGCTCTTTATAAGCCATCATTACTGAACGAAACATGACTTATTTGGACAGGCACAAAACTAAAGGTTATCCCGGTCACAGGACTGCAGTCCTACTCTAGGGTTGACTAACAGAATGCCACTAAAAAGAGTTACGTGATTAATCATGAATCCCAAAGTAGATCTGTTGTACATATCAAGGACGACTGAAGGACCCTGGTGATGAAATGACTTTGTCGATTACTCCACTATCGGATTGGAATTATCTTCAATCTTTCCTCTCTAAAAAAACCATCGAGTTTATCACTACAGGATCACTTGATCGAAATTGATGAGAACGTTTGTCTAGTAAAATGGGACCTCTTAGTGGATTCACTGATTGGTAGGAATGTGAAGTCTAGAAGTTAACTTGCAAACATTTTTCAATTATCGTTGAGTATAATGATTTCTTTGACATAGTAGAGATGTGTAGCTTAGGATAAGGATGATTATTGATTTTTTTCGATTTCTGTCACTGTAATGGAAAGTCGTTTGGAGAAGAAAGGGTTACTGTAAACGAACGACAGACAAGCCTTAGACCTGTTATGACTTTTGGGATCAAAGTTCATATCTTATTTGTGTATATGTGTTAGTTTCAATGATATGTATTGAAGTTGGGACAGATAAGTAAGACATCTAGAATGGACTAGCCAGTTACTGTCTGAAGCATATATTAATAAAAGAAAGACTGCCATTCACCTCAGTCTTCTGTGAAGCGTAGTACACTGTAGAATATGGAGACTGAGTATTGTTTCTCAAGCCAGATACTATTGAGTAACTGGCGCATTCAGTTCAACATAGAACTTAAAGTAAACTAGCATGCGAAAAGTGACAGAATCTTATTTTAACTGAAAATAGTTCTGTACCACGTGTTGCGAACTTTATAATAACAGCGAAATAACTGAGTGTTAGAATTCGCTTGTTGTCAAGTTCATACTCATTTGATGTAGTCAGTGTGCAACTGCTAATGAAATCGGAAGTTCACACCGTTTTGCTCCAGTAAAAAAAGGATTATTCTGTCAAAAACAACATTTGCTTTCGAAAAAACAGGATAAATAAACAGGACAAATTTATGAAAATTCTAACCAAAATATTGAAGGAATTTAAGTATATATTGGCGTAGTTTCTGACTTTAATGTCGCATTTAGTACAAAATAATCCTCTGGACGACTATTGCGACTCCAGAAAAGAACTTGTTTTCAAAATACAATTTTCCACCTGCGTAAATGGTGAATTTATTTATTTATCTCAGAAATTCAGGTGGGATCTGAGAATAAGACAATGTTTTTATATTACCTAACTTACAACGCCTAATTTCCTTGGTATGGGAAAAGTCAATCGAGGTGTACCAATTACATCCCGTCTTTTTCAGTCTAAAGAATGAAGTGTTGGTTGTCCTTACTGGGATTCATTTTCAGTGTGGAATTTAAAAACGAATAGTAAACGTCAATATGTAACTATGTATTTGTATTCTATGATGCTTCACTTTTGTCTGATCATTTGTAAAGATGGACATAATGACTTATAGACGGGTAGTTCAGACCACATTGGAACTAATTCCCGAAGTTCTAATGAGAAGTCGTGACCGGTGGGGCCAACCACTTCGGAAATGACAATAGTTACTCGGCGATGACATTGAATGGAGGTCGCGCTATATCGTTCACTGACAGAGCTAAGAAAAGTAGACAACTGGGTTCCAATCCTGTGGCTGAATGGCAATGCGCTGTTCGTGGAACCTCAAGGCTGTGGGTTCCACCCCTGAGGGGTCATGTATGTGCACTGCTGGGGAGTCCCATACTACGACAAAACAGCTGTTTAGTGATTCCAAGTCTCCAATGTTTCTCCAACTGATGTCATTCCATGATGAATATAAACTTGAAACTAATTATTCTTTGAAAAAAAGGATCGAAATTCCAGACTGGGGCATGTTGGTTAGTACAGCAAGACAGTCAGATAAGACATGGGTTGTTAGACGTTCAGAAAATTTTATAGTGGATTGGGAGAATAGAGAAAGCACAATGAACAATTAGTTTGTTCACCTATATTAGCTAGTTTATTACTGGGATCGACTTTGTTTACTATAATACTGATCAGCTCAATCCATTATATGTTCCATAGAGTATCAATTTCATCTACAATCAGAGAAGCTTTAGTATTCACTACAACAACAGAAAAAATCATTTACCTACCTACCATGATGATAACTGTTCTGATATACATCAAGCAAAGACTGTTTTCGCTGTCTTTTTCATTCTGAAGTATTGATATCATACGTCACTTGGTCTTAAACTTATTTAAACTTAGAGTAAAAATGGATGAATCACCAAGGCATCATTAATACAGTGTAAACGGGTGATCTTCATGCAATTAATTTAGCGATATGTAACAACTAAATCAAAAGCGTGCATTTTGCTTCATTTAGGTCTAAACAGTTGGGGGTTCATTTATCTCAATAAAGTGGATCTCTTTCAACTCCAACTTCAATTATAGTTCAAACATTATCTGCATTTTTGTGAGGATTCCGCTATTCCTCATGTGACTTATTAGGCATTTAACGTGGAATGCAGCCCGAAAAGGGAGTTGGGTAATTGAAACAACCAAAACTAAACGGGTGCGAACGGTATTTTTATGGTAGTATCTGATGCACAAGTATTTTTCAGCCTGACTCATGAAAGAATATAAGATAACTGAATGGTAAATGCATCAGAAGTGAAAAAAACCTGTTAAATATACTGACTTTATGCCTTGAATGCAAAATGAGATGACAAGTTTACATCATCTGCATTCCAAGACCAGGATGAAGTATTTGCTTGATGCCTTTTAGTTGCCAGTTTTACTGTAGATTGACAATATCAAAAAACTGTAGATGTGTCTAAGTATATTAAGTATTTAGTTCAATTTATCGAGTTCTATAAAGCGGTATAAAGAATCTTACAGTGTTTTCAAGCTACCGACTGTCAATAAATTTCGATTGTTATTATTGCTGTTATTTATGGTGAAAGGTAACTGAGATAACTTCTATTTTATAAGGGTCTAACAGTATATTTTAAAGTTAATGTTGACTATGAACCATAGAGTGCTCTTTTCTGGCCTATTCAGGAGCAGAAAATTTCACAGGGATTGACTTACTCCCATGAGATTATCTGGTTGGCTTAGAGTATGCGGACAATATTTTCTTTCTAACTAAAGATACTGACAAAATTCAAGGTTTTCTGAACGCATTCAGCAGAAATCTGAGTATATCTGGGATCCGTCTCACTCGCATCTGTCAAATGTAAGATGATGCTCCAGGACTGGTCTGCCGCAAGTACTTCCAGTTTAATGACAGAGAGTGAGGAGGTGTAATGTGCCAACCACTTCACTTGGAGAGGTGCAGCAGCCCGCATAATGGGCTGGTAACTGAGGAAATCTCAGCTTGGATGCAGAAGGTCCGTTTACCATTTGTCAAGTTCAGTAATCTATGGTGCTGATTGGTGAGATATCCAGCTAGCTATCAAAGGACTGTTATATTGGACTGCAGTCCGTTCTATTCCGTTGTACGACTGTGAGTGGACCGTTGAAAGAAGAAGATACGTAGCGATGTCTTCGTAGCATTGCTCGCGTTTGGTGAGCAATGTCAAGGTCAGGCGAAGGGTTATAGGCAAGGCAGGCTGGTCGATTTATGAGGTTGTGAACCTTAGTCGACTGAAATGTCTTGGATATGTATTGGGAATGCTGAGTCACGGTCTACCTTGACGAACCATGGTAAGGGAAGTTGGATTAGTCCGGAAGCGGGTTTAAGGTGTCCAGACGAAGATGTGGCACTAGTCCATGAAGCCTCTCCCTGTTGTCGTTAGACAGTGAGGAGATGTAGACTACCTGTTTGGCGTTGCTGAGATTAAGGGAATCAGTGGTATAGGGAATCTTGGTTACAGCTGGAAGTCGGTCACAGTGGTTCGGATGTATTCACTCCTTGACACCTAAAGCTTGAAAGTACGCACTAACCTCTATCTTCAGATTAGTTATTCTTGCACACTGATATCACTTTTTCCATCCATCTGTTCTTTGTGTACAACTATGAAGTATGGCAAATTTAGCCAATGGACTTCTGTGTGAAGTTCTACGTTGAATTTGTCATTCATTCATTCATTCATTCAGTCTGTCTATCTGTCTGTCTGTCTGTCTATCATAATCGTCTTAAATATGTAGATATATTCAATATTAAAAATACTGCGGATTCATACGCACGGAAAACCAAACATGTAGACAAAGTCCACTGTTATTAGTATCGGACTTTCAAGTCAACTGTATTTGCTTTGGTAGGACTTTGCTAGTAGTTTTTATGAGCTCATATATAGCAATCAATGACTAACAAAAGCCGCTAAACAAATCACCGAGAACTTTCGAAAACTGTGAAATGTAACTATTACGTGACAAATTTTATATCACCATACATTATTTTTCCATTACTGTCTGTCTTTCTTCCTGACGTGATGTTTTATCCCAATATATTCAGAACGATCTCGGAAATGTATTCAGTGAAAACATTCACAGTGCACTGACAGTATACCATTCAGACAATGTAGTGTAGAACAGGATTCCAAAGGGATGGTTATTAACAGTGATGATGTGGCATAAAGCAAGGTTCAGTACACAACTCCTATCCCTAAACTTCGAACAATTCAGTTGAAATGTGATAAATATACCAATCACCATGCTATTTCACAGTCAATGGTTACTCGGTAAACTATAGCATACATCAATACTAGAGACAGAAATGCTAAATGAAGCACTGGAGACTTTGTAAAACCTAAATGTAAACTTACAGCTGCAGTGCAAACAACATCAAACATAGTAAATGATAATTTTGAGTTAATTAACCAGTATTACTGTAACGAAGGTTATCCACAAAATATGTTTTTAAGGAGATAAAAACAACAAAATCAAATTTTGTTGAAAGATATGTATGAAACTTACGGATCCACTTCAATTCTGTAACCTTGTTGTTGTCTTTGTAATGGACAGAAAAAAGGCACTGTCATCATTGTTGCATTGACCATCACCATTATCATAGTCTTGACGATAGTTATGACCATGGTTACAAACCATTTTAATTTCAACCACCAAATAAAACATCTGACAAGAGTTATGATTATCTTTCATTTTTAGTGTTCTGGAACAAGGTGAACGAAAGTATTCTAAGCTTAAAAGACGATTACGCGTTCTACGTGGGCAGCTATTACCAAATTTTCAGTTCTCTACAAAGAAATCTGAAAAAAATGAAAAGCAGTCGACGCGCCAAAAGCGAACACCTAGAAGTACCAGAAGAAACATATGGTATAAAAAACACAGAATTGAATGAACTAGATAAAAGCCATGAATTTGTTGAGTTATAATAAATGAGAAATCCTGTCAAAAATGATTAGTAGTCAAGATGACTGTAAATTATTTGAAATACAGCAACGGCAAATAAAATGTCAACTTGGATACCGAGTCCGACGTCGATCTTTCTCTAGGTCACCAACTCTAAGATTTAACTCTTCCAACAAAATGAAATACAGTTAAACCCAGTGATACATTTCATTCACTATATACAGATGAATAGAATAATGACTGCCACGAAGCTCAAAAGTCAATACACTAATATGTAGACAATGTAACTCCTAAAATACCTTTTGTCAAATATGTCAGCGGAGAAATCCAATCTTATCGACAACAAACTAGTTGAATTGTATTATTATGCCACTGGATGTGGAATAAAACACACATATGCATTTTTCTGTGAACTATGTGATCTAGTTACAGTAAGCAGTGCCATTTTTATGAAGATAAGTAAAGTATAAGTGAATTCAGAAATTTGAACAAATGAGGTGCATAGTAATCTTCACATATCGATGGTTAGCGAAGAACAGAATACTGACTAATTTCATTACCGCTACTCAAACTCATACTATTCATTGTATTGAAAGTGAGAACAAACATTTACATGTATGTACATGTATTTCTCTGAAATAAAAATGAATTTCTTGCAAAGTGAGAATTAATTTATGTTGTTGTGTAGGCCAATATACTTCAACTAGATAACCCAAATTATACCGTGCCAATCCTGAGATACATTGAGATTAGCTTACTTAACATCTACACAAAAGAAGCTGCATACAAGCGCTCAACAGTCGGTTTTCGCTAGAGTTTATTCTAAATGTAAGATAAGGTATAACTTCAGTAGGTATCCCCTATATCTCTCTTGAAGGTTCTATCATTTCTGATAGCTAACGAAATCTCTGTGAGGATATACAAAATATTTGTCAGGTAATTAATAGCTTACCTACCTATTACATCTACGCCATCAAAGTATATGTATGAGATGTATTAATGCGTTGTATCTGATTAAGCGATGGTAAACATATCTTGGGAAACTGGATACTGGAATACTTCACAAACAAGTGACCAGTGAAATACCTACAGAACCGTTAGTACATATCGAAACCAGAGAATAATTATTGAAAGTTTAAATTACTAGGGGAAAAATAATTTATAATTTTACAAATACACATTGACTAACATTGTTTGACCGTACTTTACTGAGAATTACATAACATCCATCTAAGCGTCCACTCGCTTCAACGTAATCGTGAAAACAGAAAAAGGTTTAATGAATCTAAATGACTGAAGGAGGGAAACATTTTTCTTTTACAAGTTGAATGACCACTAGGTGACTGAGCTACTGAGTACCATGGTACACATGTGTAGACAAACATACTATAAAAACGAAAGCGGTATGGTTTTCAGTAACACCGTCAGTTGCGGTCGCCTATGTTCAGCACTAACGACATATGGTATTCTTAGAAAAAAAAATTTTGGAGATCAACTAATAATTTTTATGGAAGTAAGATTAGATGAAGTTAGGTTGGGTTATCTAGAAAAGAAATTACTGCGAAAAATAGTCTGGATGGGGAATTGGAAGTAGTGATGAAAACAGTTGACATTCTTAAGTAGGCAGAAACCTGACAAACCTGGATATGTGGCAAAAATTTCAAAATAAGAAGTTTTACTTTACAGGTGGATTGGCAGTGTGCATTTAAGTTGTTGTTCTTTATCTTATCATTTAAAAGGAACAGTTGTTTAAATGTAGAATGTGTTACATATTTTTCTTAGCGAAATGGCTTCGTTTAGCATCTAGGATTTACTGTGTGTTGTTGCCATGCGAGATATGTACATAAATATGGCAGTCACGAATTGCCGGAGAACTGACACTAGTCAAATAGAATAGCTGCTGACATTCGTATTATCTTCTCTTCAGTCATTGACTAATAGGTTATTCGGAAGCAGATTCTGGCACAACAGGTGGATTACATATTATGGCCACCTGATAGTCTAAATGGGATATTTTGTATTTATAGCAGCTAAATAATGATTGTTTTGTTGACCCTTTGCAGCAAGCATATCCTCTTCAACTATGCTGGAAAACATCGAAATCAATATTAAACTTTTTTCGCATAGTACGTCTCAGGTAAAGATAAAAACGGACTATTCGGAGGATCATTACTCAGAAATTTGGTTGGAAGAAGACAGAAACATATCACAAATTTCAGTCGTCTTTTTAAACTAAGGTGAAACAATGAATAGTCAGTTGTCCTCCTTCCTAATTTTTTAATGTTCACTGACCAAACTTCTCATATGTATTTTCGAAGTTTTTGACGCGTCATTTTGTAGATGGTCTGAAAACAGAAGAAAAACAGATTCATTTCTACCTTCCATGGAAATAAAAAAAAGAACTGATAAATTGTGAATTGAGTTCCGTGTGTTATCTAAGACCAGTATATTTAACATACAACTTCAGTCGAATACTTCTGATTCCAAACCACCTCGGGAAATGGCATGAACCACATGCACAGTTTGGTTTGCAAATGTATCAGTGAAACAATTAGGCAACTTTTCAATATTTATGCACAAAATGCATCCATCTAGTTCAGTGACTTATGTCACAGTTCACTATATTGACTGTTCTTACACTGGAAATGTCATTCATATCAAGTAAGCCATTTCAAGCGTTCAAATGATACTGGTAACAATGCATAACAAAATGAGGCGTGCTAATAATTCAGTTGCCCTATATTCCGTATATTCTTCATTCATCCTTTTCCTACCTTTTAGGAGAAAATAATGTACACATACAAAATAAAAAAGTAGAACAAAATTAAATGTTCATAATTTTAGACTACTTTCCACTCATACATCACAAACTGTAACTAGTTTCATAAATTTGATTTCGCCCAAAAACCTTAGCAGAGCTAGAACAACAAGTTTTGAAGAATAGGATAAGTTAATTGTACTTCATCCCTTTCTTTAAACTGCTTATGTGACTGAAAAAACTTGCTGAAAAAGAAACTTATCGATGGTCAAACAGAGAACTGAAATCTTCAGGATCACGCTTACTATTCATGCATTAACAAGTGGAGAGTCATAAACTACGTAAACAAATTTGTCTATGATCAAGTTCCCCTATCACAAAATGTCTAAATGGTCGCCAAGTGGATTAGATCCCACCTAAAAGAAATAGCAATCTGTAGCCTGAAAGTTGCATATGAGCTTGCGCAAAAATCAGTATCAAAGATAAGGTGATGCTATCTACTGATATATCAGCATTTCTTACCAGCTTATGGCTACAGAGAACAGATATTGTCTGTCAATATTCAGATGGAATATCCATACCAACGATGGAACTCAAGAAGTTACTGCTTTTGTGCACTAAGAATATATTACTTCATTTCAACAGAAAAGTATGTCACCAAACAGATGGAGTGGTAATGGGTAGTCCTTTGAGATCCATTCTTGCGCATATATCTATGACCGTCTTGTGAAGACCTACAATAGCTCCAGGTGTTAGTCAAACTACAATGCATAACAGGTATGTGATGGCTCGTTTATTTCATGTTATGACAGGGATCATGCCATAGTTCACTAAATATATTCAATAAAGCGTATGCGAATAATAACTTTATCATGGAACATGAGACAAACAATGAATTTAATTTTTCAGACTTGAACCTTTGACGAAGGAGAGATGGGTTATGTCATAAAGACTTGGAGTTGACATTATCTTCATTCTAAAAGTTTATGTTCTGAGTTATAAGCAAGCACCAGTTAAAACGTTCTTTCTTGAGGTTGGAAAACTTCTGTCATCAGACAAATCAAATGAAAAAATCCAGTTCATCGAGATGTGTATGAAGGAAAATGGTTACTGGAAGAGGTTTATAGACAGAGTCAAAGTGATAACAGCAGAAACAACTGAACTTGATAGTCCTGAGAATACACCTTGTTTATATGTTTCATTTTCAAGCGCGATGAACTGATGAATACGGTTAATCAAAGAATAGGAACCTCACTGAAAACCATTTTCTCGGCAGCTAAATTAGTCTTCGCATCCAAAACAAAGTGTTCATTACAACAATAGAAAGATGACAGGTTTTCACGTCATTTCAACTCAAATTTCATTCAGCAATTAACGTACACATGGCAGAGCAAGTATACTGGAAGGATAGACAGGAGGTCTGAGACTCGATGTGAATATATTCGAAATCAGATAGGCTTAAACGAACCAAATTTTCTTAAACCTTCTGTTTGCAATCATCTGATAAACAAAAGGACATGACTTTCCGATCTCAAGTGCGTTTAAAATAATCAAAATACAAAACAATACTAAATTACTAAGATTCTCAAAATCAGTTACTATTCGAAGAATCAAATCGAAATTGTGCATCCAAAAAGAGGCAGATGTTAGCCTCCAACTTCTATGGTAGCCACTACTTTGTCTTGTCACTCAATGTAAAGCTTTCTAAAATCTTATGGTTATATGTTGGTATATTCATCCCCATTTGCAATCTATTTCAAAGCCAATTCCTTAATCATCTCTATATTTTTAATATTTGACTCAGACTGACTTGACCTTGACATATGCAAAGTTTTTAACCTTGTATTGACACTGTTAACTCATCACACAGTTGCGTAATCTTTTCTACTCCATTTTTGATTTGTAACATATAACGAAATGACAGTATGACTATGTAAACAGTGAGCAACTTTTGGTTGTATTGCTTTCTCTGAGCTGGTTTGTTTAATCGTGAGGCTTTCATTGTCTTTCTAGAAAACAACACAACAATCAAAGGAAACAGACCACTTCGTAAGGGCAAGTCACTAAATCGCTCATGGGGAGATATTGACAGCTTACTCATACTGAAGTCAGTGCTGATGATGTTGTCTAGAAAGACGATGAAAGCTTCACGATTAAACAACCCAGCTCAGAGAACACAATAGAACCAAGACCATTCACCTGAGCTTCAAATATTCTCCACCATTTCAATG